ATAATGCCTGAAATGAGTAAATCTAAATTTGCCTGCATGGATTAATTCTGGCTTCATGATATGTCACGAGTAGCCTAGAGATGCTGAAATAAAGTTTTGTATGCCAGTCCCAATAACCCTCCTATTTCTTACTAGCTTATGAGAAAATTATAAAATTAAAACACTCCAACATATTTTTAGACATTTAGGGAAAGACAATTTTAAAAGCCTCTTACGCAAAACATGTGAAAGACGACACAGCAGCCGCGCTGCCTCCTGAGCTCCCTCCTGTTATTACCCAGTTTGACTCTTCATCGTCAGAATGGGATTTTGAGACAGACTTTTCCTTGTACTGTTTTGAATAACTCCAGGGATTTCTGACTGGTCCAAATACTCCATCCGTACTCCCAGAACTAAGACAGTCAGACAGGACAAATACAGACAGAAGTGACAAATGACACACTTGTATTCCTCAATTTAATTTTTTTAATCCAATTCCTCATCATCCTTGCAAATTCAATTTCAACACAAGAAGAGTGGTATACATAAATCCTTGAGCAGTCAACTTCTACAACATTACATACAACTGTAAAATTCCTAGCTGTTCATCAGTTTCTGACACAGAACCTGAACTGGTACTTCTTTCTAACTTCTGCCAATGCCACTGAAACAAACAGAGTCACAAAGACATAAAACTGATTCAAGCTATGTAAAAGTAGAGGAGCACATCCCTTTCAAAACCAAGGTGTTCTGTTTTTCCAGCCCTGCATTTGACGCAAGGTCACTGTTGTGAGGAAAAACAGGCTGCTAGAGGAGGAGGAAAAGCTCCACAATACCAGGAACACGCATTTCTCTGAAATGCCGCACTATTATTCACGCTGTAGCCCTCTGCAGAGGCCACAGTTCACTGGTTCAGAATGCCAGACTGGCTTCTCAGAAACTGGTTTCAGTCAGCTTGTGTCACCTAGGTGTGAGCTGACACCTGAAGCAGGGGCAGGGCATACTTTCCTCCTTCCTCAGGCTCTCCACCCCATGCTCCCCCTGACTGCAAGGTGCCAGTGTTATTACCAGCTGTATCATCAGACACAACAGGCAGCTGACAGCAGCTGGAAACCAACCTTATGGAGACATCATTACTTGAGAACTGGATCCACTCCCTGATCAAGAGATCATGCAAACATACAGACCAGAATGAGAAACTAGTATTGGGATAAGCTCTTTAGGAGAATCCTGTGCTTTAATGAACTTAGACCAGTTGTAAAACTGCATTATCAGGTTTCTCCCAGGCTTTTTGCCCACTCTTCCTCTGAGGAATATCTTTTTTACATAAAAATTACTTTACTCAAAACAATATTGTCCAAGTAATTCCACCACATCCACGTGAATTTCCAATCAAACCTTGGACTTTGGTTTAAGTATAATAAAACCAAAATACAGCATTTACTGTTTTTCACAAGTAACTAAAGTCCCAGAGACTCCCTTCCAAACCCATCCCTAACAGCCCAAAGCCATTCTCTGCTACAGCTTGGCCACCTTCACTGATTTGCAGAAGAATCAATTTGTAGGAACATTTTTCAATGTGCTCCTGACAAAAAGTCACCATTAACTTAGGCAACTTGAAAGCCTTGCTCTTGATTAGTCTGTGTGCAGCAAGTCAGGGAGTACCCATATAAAAATTACCCTAGTGGCTGGATGGCAGAGGCAGTGGCTGCCCCTGGGGGCACGGTACACAATTACCTAAGGGCAAAAAGCCATCAGTAAGGAGAGAGGAAAAGGCAGCAATTAACTGTGTTGTAACCAATTCTATCAACACACTACTGAATCTACAAGAAGGCCACTTGTCCTCAGCCTTCTGCAAAAGCTGGACTGCTTCCTGGTTCTCAAGCACATTTGAACACTATGTTCACAAAACTCAACGTCTGTATCATTTACACAACACTATACAGGCTCAGGGAGAAGTTCATCCAGCTCTGTGTACCCTTCCAGCAAGTATTCATTGTTGTCTTGCCTCACAGAAACACGAGTTAAGGATTACAGGTAGATTGGAACAGATGGTATGTTATTTTATGTAAAATCAGCACGTTAAAAATAATAAACATCACTCACCCCATTGCAAATTCATCTAGGTTTGTTTTACCTAAAAGCACAGCTCCCTGATCCAGTAACTTCTGAACTACTGTAGCATTGTAAGGAGAAATATAACCTGAAAACAATCAGAACAATTAAGAGCAACTGGTGAGATACAAGTTATTTTTACAGGTAGCTACTCTGAACATTTTGACGCTGTCATTACCACTGAGACCTTACATAACCTAGCTTGAGAACTACAACAGTGACACGAGACCTCAAGTAGTAACCAATTCACTTTGTGATGTTAACAGGGGCTTCTTCACTCCCACTTTCATCAGGAACAAGGACATCACTCCTAATACTCACTTCAATCAATCACAACAGGTCTGAGAATGTGCTTTAAGGAAAAGCATCTCAGATAATTTAACAATTTTACAACAATGAAGTCATATTTTGTTTCTTCTGCTATTAAAAAAACCACAAAATTAGAAGTCTGCTGATTTACTTCTGCTATCTTCCACAAGGATTAACATAAAGTTTTACTTTGTGGAAGAATAAAACAGATATAAGAAATGTCTCCTACTTTTGATTTTACTATAAAAACATTGCAATGCCTTGAAAACGTTCATAAACTGTTAATAGAAACAATGAGTTTAGAAATTAAAAAAATGCCTTAAAAGCATTATAGAACATGATTGTATGTTGGGATTGTTAACAATTGCTTTTCCTACATCCATATGAAAAAACTACTTAAGTCACCAATTATAAACAGAACAACAACAAAATAGGACTGTCTTTGGATGTCACCAGGTAGAACATTACTGACTGCTCTCCTCTAGACCCAAAAGCAATGTGAAGGAAAATGCAAATTTTGGAACCATTTTATTGTAGTACATAGGTTTTTATTATAAATGTTGTTAAATGCATATAAATATAAATAAGGAGATAACGTGCCTTCAAAGAAGAAACAGATTCATCTGTAGTACCAGATGAACTTGGCTAGTGAAACTGAATAAATGTATTTCATCAAATGGCACCAGATCATTTTTTGAAAATACTTGGGATTTCTGGAAGACTCCAGTCCATAAACCATCTGAAGAGCAAAATATCTGATTTTACTTTAAAAGCTTTACTGTACCTTTTAACATATTTGATGCACATGTTGTCTCAATGCCAGCTGTATTAAAGTTGTCTTTCACAGCAATAGGAATTCCATCTAGAATACCCAGTGGTTGACCTGCATTAGGAATGATTGTAAAACAACAGAGATTAAAGCAAAATGTGACATATGTATATGTGTGTGTGTATATATATATATATATATATACACATATATAATGTTCTCATCAATTACTCTTTATTTTACATGTCCCTTTGGGTGGTTTTTGAAAGCAAAATTGCTTTTCACTTGGCATTTGATGGTTGTCTGTTCCATTTTCAAGAACCATTTTCCATTCCAACACAAGCATTGAGCACTCTGTCCAAACCAGACCTCGTGTCTAAGCCCTCCACCTGCTTCCCAGGCTGGCTATCCCAAAAGACTGCATTCCAATGTCACCACACAATGCTTATTTAGCCATAGGTACTACTAAATCCACCTCATCACTAGGCTGGAAGGCATAAACACTGCCTACCTGACATACACAGTAGATTAATTACTGAAACAGAGAAAATTCTTCCCAAGTAATTGATTATCCACCATCAAAAAAACCCTGAACCAACAAACACCACAAAAACCCCAACCCAAAAGCTAAATGGTCTACATCAGGAAGCAAAACAACCTGGCTAACAATTTTATTGAGCAGAGGACAGCAAGTGTCATACAGGAAGGAAAAGATGTACTCTATTAGGTGAAAATATACCTTTCCTGCCTTTCTTGAAACACAAAGGAAAATGAGGATGGCCATCTAAATGCTGCAGATAACAGGACTGAAAGCTGTTCTGTTCTCCAATTACTAACTGCAATTTAAAAAACTCCTCTATTTTAATTCCTTTCCTAATTAAAGCCTCGATGGGTTGTGCCAGGTGTTTGCCTGTCCCAGTCTGGAAGCCCGTGAATAAGCACTGCATTGAGCACACATTCATGGCACCTGTTGCCTACATGCTCCAAATGAACCGCTGAGCAAAAAAAGCAGCAGACACCAAGCAGCAGGGCTCTCCAAGGGCCACAGAGCCTATTTAACCTGCAGTGCCTTGTTCAGTCCAGGTTTTCCCTCTGTTTTTTGGCCTAAATACTCTCCTGAGTGCCAAGTGTACATCCACGAGCACCCACGGAAACCTCAAGCATGAGCCTCATCCTCCAAGTCTCAAAAAAGCCAAGACAATCCCTTTAAAAAGCAAAAGTGCTTCGTCTAACACAGACAGCTCCTCCTCAGCAGCTTTTGAAGGACTGACATTACTTACAAAGCAACGTACCTCTTTTATACCTTTCCTCTGATTCTTCAGCCTGCTTCAAAGCGCTCTCTTCCGCTACGGTAATGTATGCATTCAGAAACTTGGTGCTTTTGATGAGGGCCAGGCACCGCTGGCACAGCTCCGCGGGACTCACTCGTCCTTCCTTCAACGCCGCCGACACCTGAGAGGGCAGCCGGGTGACAGAGGCCGCGCCGAGGCGGAGCGGGAGGAAAGCGCCATTCCCGCTGAGGGAAGGAGCGCACGGGAAGCGCTCTCCCGGGCCGCCCCGGGGAAGGGGGACGCGAGGGAACCCCGGTCACCTTGCGAACCCGTCTCGCTCCTCGGCATCCCCGGCAGGCGGACAGACCCCACTCACCTGTCGCAGAGAGGCGCGCAGCATGGCTCTCCCTGCCCGCCGCCTCCTCACGCCCGCCGAGCGACCCGTGCCCTTCCCGCGGCGCGGCAGCCGCGCGCCGCCATCTTGCCGCAACACCCCGCGGCACCATTGGCAGGGCGGCCAAGAAGGCGGCCGCCCATTGGCTGCGGGGCGAGGGAGCGATCCGGCCCGGTCCCGGTGCTGGTCCTTATCCCGATCCCGGTGCTGGTCCTTATCCCGATCCCGATCGCGAACCCGCGGCCCGGCCCGGCCCGGCTGCCCCGGCCATGCTGTCGTGGGGAGCGGCGGGCGGGCGGGCGCTGCGCTGGGCGAGCGGGCGGGTGCCGGCCCGCGGGCTCCGCGCCTCTCCGCGGGCGCGGGTCGCCATGCCCAGCTGGGTCATAGACCGGTACGGCAGCAACGAGGTGCTGCGCTTCACCAGGGAGATGATGTTCCCCATCATACACTTCCCGAACGAGGTCATCATTAAGGTTCACGCTGCGAGCCTGAACCCCATCGACCTCAGCATGAGAAGTAAGTGCCGAGCCCGAGCGGCCGCGGCCGGGCTGCGGGATGGCAGCGCTGCGGCTGTGGTGGTGCCGGGACTCCGGCCTGTCCTGGCCTGTCCAGGGCTGCCTCCACACACGTGTTTCCCCGAGCCCTGTGGAAAACCGCCGCCTCTTGGAAACAGCGTTTTTTGCAGGTTCTCTGGGAAGAACGATACAAGAAGCCACTGACAAGAGTGTGCGTGTGTGTGGTGCGAGGGTGAACTTTCAATTGAGAGATCGTGGTGCTGCTCTCTTGACCGAGATACGCCCGGCCAAGGAGCAGCATTCCCCCTGAGTGATGCTGGGTTTTCCCATCTCCATTCCCCCAGAGCGATACTGGGTTTTCCCATCTCTATTCCCCCTGAGTGATGCTGGATTTTCCCATCTCCATTCCCCCTGAGCGATGCTGGATTTTCCCGTCTCCTTGGGGTGAATGGGGCTGGAGGCCCAAGTTGCTGCCAAGTCGGCCTGTGTGACCTAAGGCGAACCGTGGTGTTCATTGCCATGCCTATCCTAAATTGATGTCTGGAGACGTGCTGTCATCCCGCCCGGGAAATCTGTCTTTTTCACTGCTCAGCTCTTTGTATTTGACACATTTAATCAGATTTTGAGACACAAGAAGGAAGTTGTGGTAGTAGAATACCTTCTATTTCCTGTGTAGAACTGCCTGCATATCAAATCAGATTCAGTAGAGCAAGCAAATGTTATCTGCACAAAGCCCGCTGACACAGCTGTAATCTGTGTTTTGGGTCTCTAATAAATGAATTTTTAAAAAATCTTTGAATATAGTTGGAGGTTTAGTGATGGGACATTTCCTATCTGAGGATTCACATTAAGACACTTTCTGGCATGATAGGGCCCCTAGGTGGACATGTCCAACACTTGAGTGGGTATACATGCCCAAATGCAGGCTATTTTTAGGCTGAACACTGTTATTACAAGGGTAATTCTCTGACTTCACAGCATTTGTCTGTTGCTTACTGAATAGAAGTCCAGGTTACTCATCTTATGAGATATGCCTTATCATTTTTTACACTTGCTCTTTATTTCTAAAATCTGTAAAAGTGTGAAATACTGCCGATTTTTTGCATGCTTCAGTATTAACAGAAAGCATTTATAGGCACTGCTTTCTAATTGGAATTGCACAGTTGATAAATGAACACTCATTGTGGTATGTTGTGGTTGATTCCATGTGTTGCAGGTGGTTATGGTGCAACTGCCTTAAATATGAAGCGGGATCCCCTGAAGCTCAAAACCGGCGAGACTGAATTTCCTCTGACGCTTGGTCGAGATGTCTCTGGTGTTGTTATGGAATGTGGACTGGGTGTGTCTTATTTCAAACCTGGAGATGAGGTGATACCACCAATCTATTTTTTTTCTCCAAAATGTATAGTTAAAATATACTGTGAGATGTTCAGCATTCATTCTCCTCTTAATTATTTTTTAATGCTGTTGCACTCTTAATAAGGCCTATCTGGCAGTAAATTCCTAGAATACTTCCTTCACTTCATTTTTTCTCTGAAAAACATGGTCTCGTGGTCTTTCAGAAACTTGCTTCTGCAAGTTAATTTCCCTTCTGGGTTTTAGTTTTTAGACCATTGCAGCAGTAGCAAGAGTGGAATTTGTTTCTTTATAAGTGCACTCTCAAAGTGCCACTTTGTTTTTAATTGAAGGTAGAACTCTAACAAGAAGGGATTTGTTTTTATTTTTCTTGAGTAACTTGGAATAGGAACTTTGGCTTAACCCAAGAAGCACTTCATGGGTTTCCACACAAATACTGATACTGTTTGCTTTTATATTTCACCAGTTTTAGCATAGCAAATCCTGTTTCTGCACCATCCTCACCCCTCTAATCTGGGCTTTCCTGCCATGGGAGTACTTTAGGGGGAGTTTGTGGATAGATAGAAGGTAGGAGAATAGAGACAGTGGTGAAGGCAATCTCACCCCTAAGGAGTTACAGCTGTGCTAATTACCAAGCATTAAGAACAAGCCTGCCCTTAATAGGCCACAGCTGGATCCAATTAAGAGGGATGTTATAAAAGAGCAGCTTGGCTGGTGGAGATGTGAGATGAAGTTTGTTGGCTGTGCTGAGAAGAAGAAAAAGTCAGTGCTGTGAGGAGCTGCCCATGAAATATCACTGAGAAGGTACGAAACCTTTGCAATAAGATGGCAACAGGAGTTGAAAAATTATGTCTTACACAAAATGCAATGGGGTACAATTTATTTATGTAGCCCTTCAGTCCTTCATTTAGTTGGTTTTGTGATTTTTTTTTTTGGGGTGTAAAATGAGCTAAAACTGGTTTCTGATAAACAGTGAAAACATCCAGTGAAATAGAAAAAAGATTTTTTTAATGAGGGAAACTTCTGTGTACATACAATTATATGCAAAGCTACAAAAATTGATGCTTGTTTTCTGTTTGGTTTTAGGTGTGGGCAGCAATTCCCCCATGGAAACAAGGCACTCTGTCAGAGTTTGTGGTAGCTAGTGGAAACGAGGTAAACTTCCAAAACTCTGGCTAACAAAACCTCAGAGTTGTAGAGACTGGCATTTTTCTTCTTCGCTATCTAAGTAACTTTATTTCTTAGTGTTGGGATTGATTCGTGCTCCAGCTAGTTTTGAAGATGGCTGAAAATGTGCAATACACAATCTGCAATTCAGTAAAGCTGTTTTAAATATTTCAGTGTCACATAGGAGCTGCTGTGTGACTTTGTAATGGTTTTATTTCAGGTATCTTTTAAGCCAAAGTGCCTCAGTCACACAGAAGCTGCTGCCTTACCATATGTTGGTCTCACTGCGTGGTCTGCACTTAACCAAGTGGGAGGACTGAACCAGAGTAATTGTAGTGGGAAAAGGTAAGTAAACAGTTCTGGTGCTAAAACTGAAGGTCTTCATTTTTATATTGATGAACTGCTCCTAAGACACATCCAGCAGTGATAAAGACTGTTACACCATGACATTGATAAAGATCAGCTGTCTGAGGATGATGGATTTTGTCTACACAGCTGCTGAGAGAGGCTTCTTTAGAGGAAGGCTCAGATGAGGTCCCTATATAGAGCTAAAAAGTACCCAGAGAAGTTGAGGGTGCCCACACATCCACAAGTGGAAATAATTAAGGCCAGGTTGGGTGGAGCTCTTGGCAACGTGCCCCAGTGAAGGGTGTCCCTGTGCACAGCAGGGCATTTAGAACTAGATGATCTTTGGGGTCACATCCAACCCAGGCTGTTCTATGATCCATCATAATCCAGTGTATATCTAATGTATGGGCTATGTAGAGAATTTGAGGATGTTATCTCCAGGACTTTGCCTTTCTGCCTGTTAAGACAGCTAGCCAAATGTAATATCCTCTCAGTTGTACTGGCAGCTCACAAAAAGCCCTCTCAAGGACAGAGATGTGGTCCACTCACTTCCTGCATGCGTGGGGCATTTGGAACAGACCAGTTTTCCAGCTTTTTAGAGAAAAATGGGCAGGTGACTGACTCTTATTTGACCTGCAGGCCAGAACTTTGATGAGGTCAGGAATGCAGACAAGAAAAGGGGAATGTACAAGATGAGCAGCCAATCAAATAGAAAAATTGACTTTGTTTATCAGTCTGTTGATCTGACAATGGCAGATGAAAAATGCAGTGAAAAATTGGAGCAAATACCATTTTTCTCCTGATAATTGAAATTTTCAGTTATTTTGACCTTTGATGTTTGAGTGAATAGACAGCATGATCTTCAGAATGGAAATAAGAGCAAAAGTAAAACTATGGGAGTTGAAAAACAGTAGTTAAAATTGCTGTGCTGCATCACAGGTTTAGGTCATGAAGTAATTACTGGGCAGCAGGAGTCTGGATGCCTGACCTCTTCTTATCTTGGCTGATACTTTGTAATGCAACACGTTGCAAAGGACACTACTTTGATTAAACTTTTTCACCCATGTCTCTGGAAGACAATTGAGTGACTGGTCATTCATGTGTCACAGTGAACTTCATAATGAAAATATTAAGTAATTGTTTTTTTTAAAGATAAACAATGTTTTGAGAAGATGAAATTGCAAAATTTAAAGAAGTTTCAAAGAAACATCATTGAAATTAACTTCCAGCTAGTAATAAAAGTCTATATAAGATCACCTTATTTTTTAATTTTCAGTATTTAAAGTTTTTTATTATCTTAACTTTCACATGTAAATAGAATTAACCTAAAGATACACTGATAGGCTAGCCTTATTTAAATTGTCTTTCCAATCTTCAGGTAAGTGTTTAGACTGTTAACAGTAAAATTGAAACTGCATTTGTAATGTGTCTTTACATTTAATATTTACTTTCATGTTCCAAATAAAATTTTAATTACTCTGTCAGTGAAAAACCCTTTTTAATTTACTTAAAAATATTATATTTCCTATCTATAAATTTTGAACCAGCAGTAAAACCAGCAGTGAATGACTTATGTGATGGTACCTTTTTTTCCTCCTGAAATAGTACTTGTAGGAAAGTGTTTAAAATGCATTGAAGAGGCTGTGCAAAATTATATGCCATGAACTCTCAGGGCAATAATTTAAAAATACAACAATTTATGCAGTGTTTCTTTATTTCTTTAGATCATATATTTGGTGAGAAGTTACCTACATGTGTGATTTTGTGTCAGTCTTTTTGTCTCCTGTAGTTGTAGGTAAATAGCTTTGTAGAAGGGTGTACATGCACACAAAAATGTCTTATTTTGGCAGAGCAGCTGTGTTCCTTGATGAAAGCTCCTTCACTGGTGCTTTAGTGCCACGTTAAGACATTTTAAAAGCAGTGAGATTTTTCTGTTGGTGTGTATTGTTCTCTTTGCCTCTCTTGAGGCGTTAGCGTGGGCTAACCAGAAACACTTGCTGTTAGTCCAGTGTCTGTCTGTGCATTGATCTGACAGATTATCTGCTCCATCTACGCATACTTTCACAGGTTATGTTCTTACAAGTTTCCTGAAGTGTGCTCTCATTGTTTGTGAACCCTCCTGCAATTCCAATCATTTTTCCATAGCCTTTATTCTGTACCACTCTAATTAATGTCAATATTCTTTTAGAAGCTTAAATGTTCTTAATGTTGAATCCTAAATGTTCAAAATGTCTGTGTTGTGTTGAAACTCTCTGTGGATACCTGGAGCTTCTCGTATGTGCCGCTGACCTGTTTCAGTAGAAAAGGTATATGCTTGTTCAACACTAGCTGTTAAATATCTTGCTTTCTGTATTCACAAAATGCATGACAGAAACAAACCTGACAGTTTGAGAAGTTATTCAAAGTGCTTACATTGCTTTTAGGTAGAAGTCTTTATGTAAGTACAGAGGCAATATCTTAGACTTTCATGTATGCTGAGCAGAGATGCTGGATTCTGTTAATGTAAGCTACCAAATGTAGACTCCTGGTTTATACAGTTACAGTGAAAATTTGAATGGTATAATACCCCAAGAAAATATATTTTCAATGTCTATGTGTTATTTCATCATCTTATCTGTTGAGAAGTACAAATTGAGTGTAGGTTGTAAAACTTCTTGATAAACACTGCTTGATCTAGGAAAAAATTTGTTGAGGCCATTTGGTTGGCATAATCAAATGAAATATAATTTTATATCTAAATAAAGTTGATACATTTAGTGAATAAATACATTAATTTTACAACTATATAAAATTGCTGCATTTATTCAATTTTTAGCTTGCGTGTAATTTAGCTGCTGAAAATTTTTAATTGTTTATAATCTGGAGAAAATATTAGTCCTTGATCTGTACACCCACTCCCCACTCACTACGTGTTCTGGTTGGGGGGGGGCACACACAGCTGAAACATGTCCTGCCTGTCTGATGCTGGTTTCTGATCACACCACAGCTCCAAGCAGGGCCTAGGTAGATGGGCTAAACTTTCCAATCTCATGGTAAGCTTATTTAGAGAGGTCTGCTCCCCATCATCATTTGAACTGCTGGAGCCCCGTGGGGGGCTTGGTGAATGTTGTGCCTCTGTCAGAAGGGGAAGTCCTGGGCTACAAATGTTCTTTGGGAAGAATTGGTTCTCTTGATCTCTGTCCAGGTCAGAATATTTGTTAATTGGGTCCCTGGTGCAAACACTTGTATATTAGCTTATTCCTGAGCATGCCCTTGCAGTGAAAGCAGGTAGTTTCTATGATGTGTTTTCTCCTGGCTGTGTTTTCCTGAGGCGTATTTGTTAATTGGGTCCCTGGTGCAAATACTTGTACATTAGCTTATTCTGAGCATGCCCTTGCAGTGAAAGCAGGTAGTTTCTATGATGTGTTTTCTCCTGGCTGTGTTTTCCTGAGGCAGTGGAAACAAAACTGTTCCTGCTTTGGCACTTGCCACCATCTGTCATTCAGTACTGCCCTAACAGGTCCTGCACCTTCAGACACTCCCCGTGTTCCTTGTGTGTCTTGCTGTTGTGTGTGCTGTTGAGCTGCTGCACATGGATCTCCTGTGCAGATGTAGTTTGTCTCAGAAATTAAGAATTTTCTTGGTGTCACAACGTGTGGAGAGAGTTTTAATAATTGGAAGGTGTGGTAGAAAATAGCCCATGTAACATAGGAGCAAACTGAATCTGGAAAGTGTTCCTTCTACCTGAAGGAATCCTGAGGGCTTTTATTGAAGGGCCTGAAAAAAATGTCATGGCCAAGCTACTCCCCAAACTGAAAACGTTACCTAAATCCTTTGAGCAAATTGTGCATTTTAAGATGACAGCTTTCCCCCAAAATATGTTGTAGAAGAAATGCCCTGTAACTAAGGAGAGCAATTGTAAAGGTGTTTTGAAAAGGGTTTTTTTTGACGAGCAAATGGTGCATTTTAAGATGACAACTTTCCCCCAAATAAGTTGTAGAAGTCTCCTTTAACTAAGGAGAGCAATTGTAAAGGTGTTTTGAAAAGGGTTTTTTTTGAAAGGATTTAATTGTAATTGTCCTTTTTAAGGATAAAGATGGGTTTAACCAAATACCTTGAGTGTAGGATCCCAGAGCATTTTTGAGTATACTGAAGTTGAAATATGCATGTTGCTCCAGGCATCCGTTGTTAGAAGCCTGGTTCTGAGGATAAGTACATCTTGGCAGATTTAAAAGCTGCAGGCTTTGTAGTATTGTGGTTTCATATTCTTAATCTGAATTTTGCAGCTTGGATCAGTGAAATGGGAGGGAGCAGAATCTGATCACTTACAAAAAGAGCATTTTAAAATGGATAGTGTGACCAAAGCCAAGTCTCTTAGGATGCTTCAAAGAACTTTTGTAAACTGAGACTCCAGATTGTATAGTACAGTTTTGTACTGTAAAAAGCAATTTCCTTCAACATCTTTTACTGTGAGATTTAAAACAGGAATTTCACCAACTTCTGAAGATTCTGAGATTTTTCTGGCAAACAGAAGCTCTGAGAAACATGATGTTCCCCAATCCCTATGCCAGGACTTCATCTTGGATCTTTTTGTCCTAGAATTAGCAAATGGATCCAAAGCACTGTTTGCAACTTGAGCTGCAAGGTTTTCTTACTAATTCACTTTCTGATATTTAGTTATTTAATAAAGTTTTGGATGGAATTTTTGAACAGTGATTAGGCTTCTAGCAGTAAGGTTCTCACACAAGTTAACTTGTATTTTTTTTTAATTTAGGGTTATCAGTTAAAATGAACTCTCAATTGCTAACAATTTGGCCATAACTCTGTCATTTTCTTGCTTGTGTGCCAGTTCCCACAAGCTGGCATTTACAGGGTCTTGTTGAGATGTACTGGAAGGAACTAGAAAAATTCTACTGCTTTTTTTCCTAAAGAAAAATACACCCATCTTAATTTAGTAGAAATTAAACTCGTTAGGGTACTTCACTGTAATTTTGTCTTTTAAATAAACATTATGCAGTATGGGAAAAATATGTTCCATATGTTCTGCGGTTCACGGTCTCCTTAAATTATGTGATACTAAACTACTTTTTCTCTTAGATGGAACCAATTTGTATAAAATGCTGGTGAATTGTATTTTTTTTTCTTTAGGAGATAGGACAGTGGAGTCTGGGAGACGGGAAGGGCTCTTAGGTGATTTTCTCCCAAACAAAACAATTATGTTTGGGAAAGTGAGGACAGGTGCAGGGGCTTTGAGTGATCTAAATGCTACTACCTGTCAGCTTCACGGCCTGCATTTAGAGAAAAGCACCTATGAGGAAGTCTCTTTGGCTGTGCTGAGATAATGCTTTTGGCACAGGACACATGATCAGCAATGTTAAGTCACATTTTTGGCTATCAGAACAGTTAACCACTCTTGAATAATATTGATTGACAAAACTAAGCTTTTGCTAAAAATAATTCAGCGTCAGAAATGTATAAGAAACGTTAGAATACATAGTTACTCCAGAGTTTATTTAAAGAGCTATTAAATATATTTTAATTTTCTCTTACAGAATATTAATATTAGGAGCTTCAGGAGGAGTTGGTACATTTGCTGTACAGGTAATATTATCCAGCATGCCCAGGATGAATCTTCAAGCGTTTCAGTATGAAAAAAACCCAAAAGGGAATTGAGAGAAGGAATAAAGAAATAGCAAGCTCTATATATAGCAAGATTAATAGCAAGATCAGTCTGCCTGATTGCGATTATTGATATTTCCAAAAGTAAAGTATTTTCAGATTTATTGCTTTTCGTTTATTATGTTGATTATTTTAAAGTAGGAAGCGGGGACTTTCAAAGAAAGGAGTTGTATATAAGATCACATTTCACAATTTGGGTGCAGGAAATTGGTGTAACTTGAAATGTGTAGGCTGTTCTCATTATCTTTCATTCAGCTCTGTGCTCTAAATATGAGCAGAACTTGGTGTATGAGTAGGAAAACTGATGGCGAATGTCACCTACCACAACTGCTGTAGCTGGTCAAATGATGTGAGAGGCCATCAGGCTTTTGTGTGCAGTGGCTGTAAAGCACAGAGGCTTAGATTTACTTTCCCTCACTGTCTTTGCCCTACTGCCCTTTTGTCTGTCTGTTCCAGTAGCTCTAAACTTTGGAAAGTCAACATGCTCTTTTGTTGCTTTGTTAGTTGTGGAACATCCTCCTTCATGCTCTCAGTTAATTTGGGAGTTTTGATTCTAATTACTATCATCTCATGCTGAAAAATTTTTCTCTCAAGATTATAAAAAAAATACAGAAGTTGGGTAATTGCATCACTGCTTTCTGTGTTACTATGCCATAAGCACAGTGGTTTTAAAGAGGTTTACAGCAGATTTTTTTTTTGTGGCATACTATTTGCCTGATCTGTGATCTTTCAGGTGACTTTCAGTACCAGAAAGTACCACTGGCTGGGTACAATTTGTAACTGATCAGTCCTAGATAAACTAAGATAATTAACCTGGAATAAATGTAAAAAGTGTTACTGTGAATGAAAAAAAAATGAAATGCAAAATGAGATAAATAACTAGCAAAAGTCCTTTATTTTGCTGTAGCTTTTGGAGTAGAAGATAACCTGATATTGTCCCTATGATAAATCAGAGATGACTTCCTTCTTTTTCTTTTTACTAGTACTTAACCTATTTGTAGTAATATGAAATACTTAAAGGGCATATTTAATAATATTTAATGGTACATCTGGTGCCAGTTTGGTTGATTGGCAACTTGGACAGTATCTCTTGGTGTATGTTTAGCTGGTAGACTAAACATACAGATGGCAAACTGAGAGCCTTATTTTTCATGAGACCTGGTATCTTTCAGTGGCATTAACAAAACCCCACACTCTTTCCTTCACGCCATCTCCTCCCTCCCCACAACTACCTTAAATATTGATAAATTCTAGCCATTATTTTGTCTGTGGGATTTGTGGCAAATTATCGTGTATTGGAACAGTCTCCCCAGTCCCTATTGAAGGTGCTCATTTGTTATATAAATATAATGAGACTTTGGCTTTTTAAGTCGTTCTCAGTATTTCACTAAATTTTAATCTTTGGACTTTTTTTTTATATTTGTTTTTAGCTAATGAAGGCCTGGGATGCTCACGTGACAGCAGTTTGCTCTCATGATGCCAGCACACTGGTGAAAAAGCTTGGAGCAGATGATGTGATTGATTATAAATCTGGAAATCTGGAAAAGCAGCTTAAAACATTACCCTTGTGAGTGTTTTTTGTGAGTGCTTTAATGAAGGAGCTGGTGGTCGGACCTTCTGCCTTTTGATTGCTTGACTCTATCAGAACTCCCTAAATTTTTCCCCTTGTTTCTAAAGTATTATTTTGTATAGCAGATTCACCTTTTTGAATGCAGTTTGAAAGTGAGTATGCCCAGCACAGATTTTATTGTAACACTAAGCCAGTTAATTGGGAGACAAGCTCACTTCCATGTGCTTCTCTTCAGTGACTGTAATATGAACAGTTTTGTAGCTTCCATCCAAGTATCTTGGAGAATATACAATGCATGAATACATTGAAATAAATCTCTGAAATCCTGAGTGAAGCTGGTAAATGTAAACTTGATCTTGTAGAGGAAAGAACTAGATCATGAAGGAGCAATGACTTGCCACTGTGCAACGCAACGGGGAGTAAATTTCTATTCTGTAGCATTGCATACAGCTACCTCTGAAAAACAATCACATTTATCTTGTCATAGCAGTTATGTTTAAACTAGCCTTTTTCTCTAGATTTTTCTCTAGAACAGAAGTATTTTTTGCTTTTGTCATCTTTCCATCTGTTTAAACATAGTCTACTGTGACTTGTATTTGAATATGGTATTTACACTGCTCTTTTAGCTAGATTGAGCGAACTTTCTGGGAGGGGAAATAGAAGCTGCTTGATCTGTGGAAGAATTTTACTGGTAACTGTGCTAAGAAGCCATGTGCCCTTTTACTGCAGTGTGATTGTCGGCAGGCTGAGGGCAGTTGAGAGGGCAGTGACACTGTCTGTACAGCAGGATGGACTTTGCAGTTGGTGCAAAATTTGCCTTTATGACCACTTTAAATGCTAAATACCCATTCTAGTGATTGACCCTTTCTAAGACATCAACAAGAGTGTCCTGGGGTGCAGTTAATTGATGGAAGTAGGCTGATCAGTGAGCTCTACTGAGTGGGTGTTCCTACTTCCCTCCCCTGTGCAGTTGTACTGACTCTTCAGAACCCACAGTCAGCTACTCTTTCCAGAGCATTAGTTTTCATGATCTTGTCTTGTTGGCAGCTAACTGTTACATAAACTGAACTTTAAACATGAAATCACACTCTTGGAAGACAGGCAGGAAAACCATCATTCTAGAGAAATAATGACCTTTCTATTTAATTTGTATAAATTATTTTCTCTCATATTTGTAGGTGATTTAGATTAGAGATATGTGTATGTACGTATCTATTGCAATCTAGAGATTGCTGGAAATTTACAGATGAGAATGAGTTGTGCATTTAACAGAACAGGTGCATGGCTCCCTACTGCCCTATTCAGCCTTTACAGGCTCACATGCTGGTGTAATTAGAAGGAACACTGAAACTGTGGCTTTTTGCCAGAGGCTTCATATACCCATTCCATGGGGGCAAGGTTTTAGATCTTTTGCATTGTCAGGTTCAATGTTAAATAGGTAGATGTGAAGAAAAGAGCTGTCAGGAGAGGTAAAATGGCCCCTAAATAAATATGGAGGTCAAAAAAAACTTGGAGAAGTGAAGCTGAGAACTGGGTCACGGAAAAGATGTGAGGAAATAAGAGTTAGTAGAATAATTTGTTTACGTAATTTTAGCCACTGGAACTGGCTTTTGTTGAGCACAGCATGTGCAAGAGCTGTTCCTAGTTGAGGGCATGAGTCCAGACGGGTTTTTACATGTACATACCATATTGTTCAGTGCTAGACCTCAAGACTGTTCAATAGTCTCTGTGGGAGGGCTGAAGAGATAGAGCTCTAGAAGGCTTTAAGCAAGTACAGAATGTAGTTGTATATCTAAGTTTGCTTTTTGGGATTTAAGTGTACTTTTTAAATAGCTTGTGTCTGCTGCACAGTGAATAGGCAGTAACCTGTAAATTTAAATCCTATTGTACATTAAGCTGGGACTTTGCTGAAGTCTTGGGACTTTCTTGCTGCTATCTTGCAGGCTGATTATTTTTACATTGCAGTGACATGTAAAAATGTGAACTATAGCTGATTTCTGCTATTAATTAGCTTAATTACGGTGAAGTTATTTTTCCCATATCAAGATTTTAAACCTGTTCTTTATATGTCTGCAGGTTTGATTTTATCCTAGATAATGTTGGTGGATCCACTGAGAAGTGGGCACTAGATCTCTTGAAGAAATGGTCAGGAGCAACATATGTTACTTTAGTGACACCTTTCCTGATCAATATGGACAGACTTGGAGTGGCTGATGGCATGTTGCAAACAGGAGTCACTGTTGGTTCCAAAACTCTAAAGGTATTTGACAAAATCCTATGTACTTTCATATTTTGTAGTACTTTAGTGACTACTTCCATGGCTTGGATGTCAGTCACAGAGCTCATGGAGAGGCAGCTGTTGCATTGTCCTCATATGTCATATACTTTTCTTTCTTTCTTTCTTTCTTGCACTGAAAAGAAATGTGTTGGGGTGGTGCTCCTGGGTGTATGTAGTAGTTTGGGGAGCTTTGAAGTTTGATTCCTTATTGTGCTTTCCATTGTGGCCTTTTCCATATGGCCTCCCTAGTGAGTCCTGCTGACAGCCAGGGTTTCATAGTAAACACAGCTAATCCCTGCCTCACTGAAGTGAGGGCAGTTTTGTTACTTGCTTTAGGCTGCTCAGGCTTTCTCAGAACATTGTTCTATGACTGATTCTCTTCATCCTGTTCCAGCACCAGAGAGTAATAAGCCTGGTGGAGGGTGGCTAGGAAGTCTTTCATCTCTTTCATGTTCATGTGTCTAGATGGTGATACTGATTTTTCTAGTTTTCATAAGTGGATCTTAAAACATTCTGCCAGTGGCCAGATCAGTGGGGCTTTTTAGAACTTTTCTCTTTCTTCCCTATGCTTGTGTACTTGCTCTCCAAATGAATGCTTTTCAAGCAGTTGCTATGGTATTCCTGCAAAGGCTTGGCTGAATAGGATTTTAAGTCCTGCAGCAGTAACTTCTCAAGAAAGCCCAAAGACAAAATGAAAAGGGGGAGAAGAAATAATGTAATATTATTTCTCAGTGTGCATGTTTCCATGATGAAGAGGCTTCTATACCATATATAAAAATCATCTCTCTTTGGCAGATGATGACTTTTTTCCTGCAGTGACTTACTCAAGGAGATGCTCTTGACTTGTGTGAGATCTTCCCAAATGCTTTTCATGTGAGCTGCCATCTGTTGTTGGACAGTGATGACTGTGGCAGATATTATGGTGGGAAATGAAGTCACTGATACTGAAGTGGAAGGTTCTAAATGTCACATTGCTGGGTTTATTTCACCTCTGTTTTGAGTGTACATGAACACGTAACACCATTTCTCTCTTATGTAATAAATAATGCTGTTTCTAGCTGCAGAGACAAGGTAATTGTTTCTCTCTACTGGCTGACTTGTGCAATTGGACACACAATTCACCCTGACCCTGTTGTGGTAACACAGCATCCTTGTCTGTACATTTAATTCACATGCTTAGGTGCCATTTTTTGCAGATACTAGGATATAATTTATTTTTCTTAATTTACTTCTTCAGAGATTCTGTCATTAATTTTAGTTCCCGTTTCAGTTTGCTCTCATGATATTTTAATAGATTTGTGATCTTTCTTGCAGCACCTCCTTAAAGGAGTCCATTATCGGTGGGCATTTTTCATGCCAAGTGGGCCAAGTTTGGATGAAATAGCAGAACTGGTTGATTCTGGAAAGGTATGTCAGTAATGGTTACTGGGGTATCTGTGCTGAAAGAGATGCTGCTTGGACTCAAAAATGGTGTAGTTCACGGTTGAGAAATAAAATGTTGGGAGAATCATGGTAAGGAAAACGCGTTAAAAATCAACTTGTTCCAGTTTCTAACTTCTGCCTTTTGCATGGAATTTAGGAGTTCATAATACTTAAGACTGTTCTGCCTTCTCCTTCTTGAGTGTACTTTTAAAAAACACAAAGCTTACAAAGTTACAAGGAGTAATATCCAACGATTGTTTATTTTTGCCAGTGGGAATAATTTAATATGAACTCTACATGAAAACTATGTTTTAAGAGGTCTCACTTGGTTCATTTGGGCAGAATAAACATGGCTGTGTATCTGCATAGGCAAAATTGCTTAGCCTGGGTGGTCGGGCACAGAACTAGAATATTCTGGTTATTGCAGGTAATACATGATCTCCATTGCAGAGTAGTGACAAGAATCTTGTTTTTCGTTATTTCAATACTGCAGATTCTGATGTTTGTGCTAATTCAGCGCAGGGACTTGGAATATTGTGAGCATTCATAAGCTTCTGGGGAATATTAGTGGACTTGGGGGGGAAAAGCCAAGACAGATAAAATCTGCTTTTGTGATCATTTCAGGTTTATAAGCTTGTTACAAAATATATTGTGAGAGTGAACAGTTGATTTCCTATGTTTTGGATTGTGTGGTGATGTAGGCCCCAGCAGTGTCCTCTTTGGGAATTTTGGCAACATGAAATTATCCAAGAGTAGATAATATGGACAACTGCTGTAAATCCTTCTGTGTGGTAGATAAGCAGAAGAGTAAGCAGAGTCTGTCATGACTGCTGGTAATTCCAGTATGTGAACTGCCATCTTGTGCTCAAAATTTGTGCTTATTAGTAAAATTTAGATCTCTCAAAGTCTGAGTGTTGATTCCCCTTTTTGAGTATGCAATATGTTCCAGAGTTTGGAAAAGAGTCAATAAACTGCTCTTGTACTGAAGACCTGATTGCTTCTGTTTTGCCACCTCAGTGCTGCTGTTCAGAATAAAAAATTCTCTGCTTTGCATTATGTCCAGTGCTGTAGGCATAATCTGTGGTCAAGAAAGAAGCTGTAGAAGGTCCTCATCTTGTAATTGCATTCAGTCACACTGCTAAATTATAAGAAAATCTAAGAAAAAAGAAATGCCCTTGTCTTTGTTCTTACTATTTGTCCTGTTCTCAGCCCGTTGCAATTTGTTTTGTGTTCTGCTTCTACCTTGTATGCAAAACAAATGCAGACTATGCTCATGAAAGCCTCTTGGGAAACAGCTGTTTATGCAATAGAGATAGGGCTTAATCAGTGTTCTTTGCTTAATAACCTGGACAGGTGAATTGCAATGCCACTTAAAATGTACGTCATACATACATGAATGTCCTGATGTACTTCTGCTTGTAAGTTGATCGTGAGGACAAAGATGTTTGCTTGGTCTTTTATTCTCTGTGCAAAAACAGGTCCTAATGTCAGACTGTTTGTCTGCAGAGTCATTATTCTAGCAGCATTTTACTCTATTTTGTGCAATGTTGTAAACATCTGAGCTGTCATCAGGATTTTATAAGACTCAGTTGTGTTCCATTTAGACAGATATTAATAAGACTATGACCTTTCTTGTTTAGAGACAAGAGTTCTTGTAAAGGAACAGACCATCCATTCAGAAGAGTAGGTGTTGGGGAAAAAAGGCAGGAGAGAATCACTGGAGAAATTGTACCACAATTTCCTATAAGTAAGTGAAATGTTTGTGTTTGGATAGGAAAGAATAAAGGAGAAATTAAAAAAGCAGAAAGCAATGAAGTGTATCAAGAAGCTTGGGGAAGCCAGCAAACTGAGCTCCTGTAGTTGAAGTTGTTACCTTTGAGTGAATATTTTTGAGTAATGCAGGGATTTTTTTCCATTTAAGTATTTTCTGTTAAAGGCATCTTAATTTTGAGATTGTACGAAGTGAGTAAGAGAGTAGTTAGAGAGCTCCTGAAAATGAGAGGCTTTTTTTCAGGAAAAAATTATATGGGGGCATTAAATGTAAGAAATTAAAAAGAGATGATGGTTTAAAGAGATGTTACAGTAAGTGAAGCATTGAAGAGCATACCTCTGAAACATTTACAGATAATTTTGATTTGACAGTGTTTCTCCTTACAGTCCTTCTGTACCAACAGAGATTTTTAGTTCTGATGAGTTAATCATCTTCCTTTGTGAAAGCAAAAGGATTCTCAAACCTTCAGTGGATGAAGAATAAGCAATTTTGTTTAAGGTTACTTGGTTTTCACCTGGATAATCTTTGCAGCAAGGAATAGAGATTTGCAAAGCGTCAGCTCTGAGGAGGAGTTCTTTTAACAGCCTTTTCATAATGGTGAAGTGAAGGAGAGGATTTGATGAGTTGGTAGTAAAAGGACAGAGAATAATTTTCCTTGTGTGATTTGCCTGCACATCAGTCAGATCTGGGAATTGCAGAACCATTTTCAGTTTACAAGCTGTTTTCTCTGCCTTGCAGATGGACATCTTGCAAAGAAACTATTGCAAGACTGAGGGGCTGGAAGGCTGCTGCAATAATTATGGGCATGGAGAAAACCCAGTATTTCCTTGACAAATTTTAGAGACTGGCTATTTTCTAAACTGCTGGAGAATCCCTGTTGTGTTTTGAATTGCGGCAGTTAATTATGACCCAGTAAGGAATGGCTTAATGTGGGCTCCACCAAATGAGTTGATGAAGCCCATGTCAGAAGCTCTGTCTCTTTCCATGGTAGAATGTTCCTGGTGAATTACAATTCTCATCTTAAGACAGCTGAAATCAACAGAACCCTTAATTCAAGACACAGATCTGCTGGCACACTGTTCAGTGGTTCAGTGAAGCATCATCACTGAAAGTCTAGTTAGGAATTAATTTGGTGTATTTGTGGTCAGTGTTGTGGATTTAACATTGACAGTTTTGGTTTTTGCTGCTTGCCCAGCATTTTCCTCCTAAGGACATACCATATAGTCCTTGCTGAAAACAGGGCAAGTTCATGTAAGTATTTAAGGCTTGGTAGAAGCCTCTAACTCATAACTGAGCAGTTACTTCACCTTTTTTAAAGCCTGGTGGAGGAAAGCAGGCTCAGAAGACTCCTTAGTGTCAAAAGCAGGAGCACTGAGTATGTTGTGTGTTCCTGCAGGACCATAATAGGATGTGGGTTAACATGCAGCCCAACAGAAATGTGACATTTTCATTTTAATTCAGTGCTATTTAAACACAGTACAAGTGTGTGTGTGCAGTGTTTCTGGTGACTTAATGCACTTTCCTTCAGAGCATTGTTCCATCAGATGGGCTCTTGAATGAAAGTTGTTGTTGCAGAAGGAAGGCTAAACGGCAAACAGAGTCCCAAATCATGAAATGAATAGATAATTTCCTCTGATATTTGCTTTTTAGATAGATGTTCCAGCACAGGCACCCATAGGAAGAACAACTGCCTGCCTATATTAATGTAATTTGTGAGTAGTGTTGATTATGCATTTTGCTGAAGGTACTAGATGCTTTGGACTTAGCTCTTGCTGCTATGGTTTAGAGGGCAGGATGCTGACTATTCTTTGGCCCTGCTGCTGCCTTCTTGTGCAATGCTGAACAAATCACAAAACCTTTTGCTACCATAATTTCTTGATCTACTAATGAGGACTGATGCCCTTTATTCACCTTTGGTGATTTGTTTTGAGATACCTTGTTAATATGAGGAATTGAACTGTCTTCTGTTCCTGGTCTTTCCTATTCAGGAAGTAAATAACACAAATGAATGGACATGGTCATCCACTTTGACATGCCATGAGTTCTGAGGTGTTTGGATGGCCATTAGGGCATCACAGCTTCTGGACTCTGTATCCTAGCCTGTGTGTTGATTTGCTTCCAATTCATCTTGTTACAGTTCTGCAAATAACTTTTTCCGTGGCCCTTATTTCCATATTGTTGCATTTCTCTCAGCTGTATGAATATCAGACAGTGAATGCAACACTTGAGTCCTTGAATGTTCTCCAAACATGACATCTATAGATGTGGCCTTCTCTACAGTAATTCCAGACTTTATGACTGTGCTAAAGTATCCTAAGGTACCTGAGAACTTGCCCTTGTGTGGTATCTGCTTTAGTCTCTCTGAAAAAAGGCAATAGGGTACCTAAGGGGTTTCTACACTTAAATGTCTCAATTAACTAGAGGTCAGTCCTTCTTCCCACTCTCTTTAGTCACTCATGCTTGTTCTGATGACCATCTTTCTTCATGCTAAATTGCAAAGCTTGCACCTTTTTTTTTTTTGCTTTTAATTTTGTGTTTTCCTGTTGCAATGCATTTGTTTGCCAGGTTCGTTGGCTAGAGACAGAGATGTTGACCAAGGAGGAGTTGCCAAAAGCTCTGTTCAGCCCTTTCTCTTCCAAAAAGAACCTCTATCTGCATTTTGTCACATCCACCAACAAGCCACTGTGATTTTCATTAAAACATACCTGGCTCCTTTTCCTCCAGGACATGGTAGCTTGCTTATGTGCTGAGCTGTGTGTGTGATGCATCTGTGAAGTATCTGTGAAGGGCACCAATGGAAATTTTGTATACTGTGGGGAAATAGGGTTTCAATATGTAAATTCACTTTCACCACAATGAGGTCTGGAAAAAAAGCATCATCATCTGCCAGGCATTTAATCAGATGTGTTCCCTTAAGCTGATGTAATTGTAAATTGTGTGGTAAGTCAGTCCTGGTGTTCTGAGCTCTAACCTCCTGGTGTAGGAGGGAATTGTGCCTAGTGCAGGGGTAAAGTGCAGACAAGGCAGCCCTTGTCTGCTGTGAGTTTAGTTTGCTGAGACTGGGAAGATGTGGATCATGCAGGACTAATCTTCTAATCTCTACATATTATATGCTTTCATATGTAAATACGTATTTATATTTAACTGTACCAAAGTTGGTTCTGCCTTAAGTATATGGTGACATTGACCTAGATTACTTTAATTACCAGCATAAATATCAGGACAACTACCAAGAATGTGCTTTACCAGGGATTCTAGAAGAGATTAATTGCACTTTCCTTTAGTTAACAGTTTTTAGCATTGTCCAGTACGTAACTACATCTAGCATCTTCCTTATTTCTACTGCTTTAAGCTTGGGGTAGGCTGGCACACATTGCAGTTCTGAGCTTATCCCAGTTTCTTACTGCTCTTTATTGTAGAAGCCATTCTGCCAGGGCTAATAAAAATCTCTTGTTTGTTAAAGCCTTTTCTACACTCTGCACTGTACCCTGATAGCCTTCTTAACTGGGATTTTTCTTCTAGCATTTTAATAATTGTACATGATTATATATAATCTTCTGTGGGCTGCTGTTAGAGATTTGATATAAAAGAATGTACTTTGGCTTATTAATGAAACATATAAGGCCTGATAATACAGTTGTTGTTAAGACGTTGTGGAATTAGACCCTGGAACACTTGCCTTCCATTCCCACGTCTTAACCACCGCAGCACCATTTTTGTTATGGGTGCATTGTTTGATCAGTTTTACTTCTCTTAGGTATTTGGGACAGAAATATCATGTACATGCTGTCTTTTAATGTGCTCATGGATGAAAGTGAATATTCTCTGAAATAAAGTCAATAAAAAACACAGCAAGGAAAGGTTTTTACAACACATTCAAAGATGGGGCTCTGAGCAGTCTGGTCTAGTGGAAAGTGTCCCTGCCTATGGCAGGGGGAGTTGGACTGAATGGTCTTTAAAGGTCCTTTCCAACCCAAACCATGCTACAATTCTATGCTGGTACTGTGCATTTGCAAAGCTACCTGTACAAGATGTGACCAGCTGTTGCAGAAGGTAGGGACTTCATTCTTTCTCTTCATGTGAGGGGCTGAACCTATCCCTTGTTGACCTTGTTGGCAAGCAATATGAGGCTCGGCATACATTGTTGCATGCCATTTTAAGGGGAAGAAAGAATGAAGACAGGAGTGAGATTAGGATCCAAGGAGCATGGAACAGGAGTACAGCAGAGAAGATGCTCAGCAAAAGTAGGAGTGTCCCAAAACAGCATCTTTTTTCCCCATAGGATGACAATAAAGTAACAAATGGATAACTAATTGTTTAGTTCCAGGACAAGGACTGTTCTTTTTAATGATTTCATGATTCTTGTTGACATTGATGAGAAACTCCCTGAAGACCAAAGGAGACCATGAAGCTCTGCATTTGTGCTGATGGACTGCATTTAGGCTCGGTGGTAATTTCTCGAGGAAGATGGCCTTTGTCTTTTAACTCAGCTAGTCAAATCAGCAGGCAGGTCTTTTCCATTACGGCAAGCCCTCGGGAGGACTTTGATGTCTGGTTTTGTTCTGTGCATGTGCACGTTCCTTTCCTGGAGGGTGGTGCCTGAGCAGCCTCACCAAGGCCTAGGAAGGGGGGAGGCAGGCACTCTCCCAAGCAAGGCTGCCCGGCAGCTCTCACACGGCCATCCTTTGCAGACCTGGAAGAGAGCCAGTGCACTGTCACTGTCCTTTGAGACACGGCACTTGTGTCCTCTTGCGCTCCGAACTAGGCTCGCACTCCTGAGTTCAAGGCTCTCGCTCTCCCTCCAGTGGCAGGAAAAAGCTCCACACCTACTGGAGTCACTTGTTGCTACTGTGAGGGCTGAAGCGGTCTCCATTCCTTTCATGTTTTCCCACTTGTCCCCTCCTGATAACCTAAAACTGTGTCCTTGCCACCGCAGAAAGTGGGACCCCCAAGGGTGAGCCTGAATTTGCCAGGAGCAGGAGTGTGTTCCTGCTGACCAGCCAACTCCTGCCAGTGCTGTTCACTGCCTACTGCATTCAGAGCTGGAGTGGCTGGGACAGCCCTCTGTGATGTGTGTAGGATAGCCTTAATCAGCATCAGCAGTTACTCTTTTTATTTTTCCAAACACATGAGTTCATTGCAAGAGAGCTGAGATTCATTTCTATAGTATGTCCTGCATTGGAGAGAATGAAGAGGAAGAAAATACCTTTCAGGCCCAATCTGTTTTCAGATAAACATTTCAATGTGGGTATGTGTAATCCTTTCTCTCCCAGACTTTAGTTTAATCCCTTTTCCCTGAACAAATAGGTGTCCTCTGGCAAGGAACTGATGCGTGGCTGTAAATAGGCAATGTTTTTATTATCCAGTTAATCTCCATTTATTATCACACATTCAACAAACAGCAGACGCTCCCCTACTTGTTTGTCTGTTCACAGGAAGAAATTTTATCTTAGTCAGTGGATTATGGTAAAGGCTGAGTGAATCACTGTGCTGCAACATGGTCAGCCCTTTCAGGGTTATTCAAACAATGGGACTGTCCAGCCAGCCAGATAAAATGTTTAATGCTCTAGATTGCCAGGATCATCACTTTGGTATTCATGCCTCTCTATAGCACTGCCTAAAGCCAGCATTTAAATGAAGCTAGAGGTTGCATCAATGTAGCAGATGGGCATTGAGCATGTGGTAGCTGAAATACACACGGTGTTTTGAACTGTGAGGCTGAATGCAGGGCTCCTCTGAATCGCTGTGTCACCACTTTTCAAGTGCAGTGTTTTAAACTCTACCCAACAGGCTGAGGATGTAACATATCTCACTCTGTCAGAGTTATAAATTGTAACCTAGAGTAAGGGACTGTGGATTAGCAGAACAGTGAAGTGTCTTGTTCATGTTTTCTCAGTTGCTGCACGTGTCTGAAATTAACTTCTGCCTTTCCCTGGAATCCCTTGCACTTCACATCCCATGTGCTGCTGCTCTGCTTTCTTCCCTGAATACTTTTCCTCTCCTCCTAGCCTGTTGCCTTGTCAGGGTCATCTGTATCCATGCACCAGCAGGCTGGGTTTCTCTATCTCTTTTTTCCCTCTTAATTGAAGCACGGCTTTATACACAACTGCCACTAACAATAAGTACTGTACAAGTGCTTGGCTCAACAAAATTCCTGAACTGTGTTTTCCCCAGCATCTGCTATGAAAGCAAGGATTAGTCTTCCTCAAAACAGTCAGTACTGCTCAGCAGCACGTTCCTCCTGCTGATGGTCACAGCAGCTGCAGCTGCACTCAGATGCTCAGTTTACCCCAAACCATTGTCTAATTCAGTGTTTTTGCTGCCTTGAGTCCATGTCTCTGACTTTGTTCATGTCCAAGACAACATTTCCATTCTGTGCTGAATGCTGACCAGATATGAGTTTGTCTTGAACATGATCATTTATACCCCACATTTCTTCCACAGCTGGGCTATCGTTGTGGCTCCTCTGCTGTGTGTTGCTACTCACTTTGCTAGGGGTTGGTTTACAGACACTGTCCAGGCAGGCAAGAGAAAAAAATTGCCTTGGTACAAAAGCCTTGTACCTTGCTGCATGGCAACTTTGAGGCACTTAGTGATTTGGTGACTTTATTTTTTTGCATAGTTGCTCTCAGAGTGATTTGTCTGCAAATTCTAATGCATTCTTTGGAGGAGAATCATTCCTGATTTTCTGCCATGTAAAGTTTCACACTATGGCTAAGCTTGCTTTGACAAAATAAAAAGGAAAATCTAGTGATTGATGTGGTGCAAGTTAGAGTACTGCTGTCCTGGATTCCTGTTATCATACAAGCAAAGGCAGTAGTTATTTAAGTGCAAGGAGTGGACATCAAAGTAAGGCACAGTGTATAAATTAAGAGGAAATTAGGAGACCTAAGAAAAGGACCTCCCTGAGTACAGACAGCTATCAGAGAGCATTTGTTGTGCTGCTGGGGAGGGAGCTGGGTGGTTGGCTCTGTTGCTAGGAAAGATTAAATTACCAGTTCTGGCTTATTCAACAAGAGAGGGTGCATGCTCACAACTACAAAGAAAATGCAGAAGATACTTTTTCCCTGACACAAGTGAAAAGGATCTTCTTCTAGCACTGTAAATAATGTGTTTGGATCTTTGGTACTTCAAATCTTCATCACTGCAAGTGCTAGCTGCAGACTCATCTACTGGTTGTTTTTTCCTCTGCTAAGAGGATTAGGATCAGTGCAAGGACATGCACAGGGCTGGTGTTACAGGATCCAAGGAAAAGGACCAACCTCAGGGTAGGCAGATCTTTGGAAGGAGGTGTGAAAGGTACTTCTGTAGACAGTTTTCTTTTTTGGCATTTGGAATGCTGACTCAGAACATGACAGTAGAAAATAACCTCTTCCTTTGGACCAGCAGTGACAAATATTTTTTCAGAAGAGCTGGAATTTCTTCTGCTTCTGTTGGTACACTATGATATCTAAAGAAAATGCTTATAGGGGTTTCGGGCTCCTTAGTTAATAATGGGGAGAGTGAATAAGTAGTTTCACAGTTGTTAGAAATGAGTCTAAAACAATCCAGAAGGCCACTCTACAAAATTAATGTCAAAATAGCAGTTGATGCAAGCTGGGCTTCATAATGATTTATGCCTCCTGGAATACACAGTGGCTGAATATTCAAGTGTAGCTACATGATTCAGCAGCAAACATTGGTGGGCGTTTTTTTTTTGTACTTCATTTGTGGTCTGTTGAGGGTACTGAGCCATGTACTGATGCAGACAGGCTTCAGATTTATAGGTATCTTTAAAATATATGACATTGTGAGAATTCTTGAGTTTAAATAGGAAACAAGTTGAGAAATAAGAGAGAAAAAACATGTTCTTTCTGTAAGTGTATCATTGTGGACAACAAAAAGTTAAACCACAGTGTAGTTTTTGAAAGGATGTAGAAGTTATAAGAAGAGCCTTATGTGGTGACATTAGTGGGAGAGACCCCAGATAAGAGCTCCAAACTGTGCTAGAAGAGGTGTTTCAAAACATGGACAAAGAGCAGCAGAAAACCTTCTTCTGGATGCAGAGGTATCCCTGAAAAATCTTAAAAGCCAGTGGCTACATGGCAAATTCTGTCCTAAATACCATAAAGAAATCTCCCCCCCTTCTTCATACAGTTTTGAAGTGTGAGGGTGATACATTACTTAATACTTTATTCCTAATATAGTGACACATTTTCCTTATTCTGTAGATTCAACCAGTTATTGATGAAGTCTTCCCATTTTCTGAAGTTCCAGAGGCCTTTCTGAAGTTGGAAGGAGGACATGCACGTGGAAAAACAGTGATCAATGTAATTAGTAGACAATAAAGTATCTCTAATCATTACTCTGCCTGCAGTCAGTCCTTGAACATGAATTGGTATGTAGTGAGTGTTTATTTTTTAAAAGCTCATACAGGACGCATAACTTGTAACTCTTATTTTAGAAAAGCCTCCGATTCCTTCATATGCTTCCTGTTAAAAAGCAGACAAGACATACTAATGTCTCTTAAGCATTTCTACCTGAAAACCATGTTAAAAATGTAGTTGTGGCTTTTGCAGAACACCCCTCACTCTTAGGATACAAGGAACAGTCTGCAGCATTTTCCTTTTATATATCTTGGAGGTTTCATTTTTCAGGTGCAAGTCCTGAAATGGTGAGGCACATTCCTACCTACCTGTCTACATGAAACCTGTGCTGTTTTTCCTTGGTTTTCCTACTTCTGTTTACCTTTGCTAGTGCAGATTATTACCCAAGCTAATGCAGATTATTACTCAAGCTATTTCATTCTTAGAACTAAATGGTCACATCACTGTCTCAAGACCGATACTTTGATCTTGTTAGGGCAACTCTCTCATGACATAGCTAATCTAAATAGAAGCATGGAACAAAATCAATCTGTAACTGATAATTATTCTAATTGCCCAACTCCTGGCTCAGATTTAGCTGACTGCAGTGTTTGTGCAGGCAGGGTAGACACAATTTTGTGTCCCTGTTGCTGCTGTGTCTCATCAGTGCTGGTGAAGCACTGGAGGGGGTGTTTGTGTCTGGTGGGCTGTTTCTCCATTTGCCATTTTGCCAGACATGGGCTATGGAGTAACTTCCCCTGCAATTATGCAGGTGGATTGAAGGAAAGTGGCAACTTGTTAAGTGAGAGGTGTCTATTTACTGCAGTGCAGCTGTGGTGATGCACAAACCATGTCATGCACTGCTTCCACCAGGGGACAGAAGTTTGCATCTGTGTTAATAGTGGCTCTGTGCACAAATGTTTATACAAGTATGTGTACAAACATGTGCAGAAGATTCTTCTTGTATAGAAGAATCACCCATTCCTCAGAGCCTGCACTATTCCACACCGTGTTCACTCCTCCGGGGCTGGCTGTCAGAGAGGAATTATGGACAGAGATGGGCACAAGATGAAAGCAAAACTAATCATAAAATGTCACTTTTCTACCTTTAAAAAGAATTTCAATTAAAACGTTACCTAACTTATATTTATTTGTAAAATGCTATATTATATATAGCAAGAGCACATCAATATGACAAAGTACCACTGTTTGGAACCAGTAACATCATATTTTCTATTAAGGACTAAAAGCAGCACATTTCAGAGCAACAAAACTTCGGTGCAACTTTACAAAAGGAAGAAAATCAGTAAGGCACTTCCTCTAGGGTGCTAATAGCAAAAGCACCAGTATCCTTTGAGGCAATACAATAGTAATGAAAATGTTAATTTTAAACAGATTTACTATGCAATAAAAAGGCCTGGATGCTCCTCAGAGCAGCTTGTAATAACACTGGTCTAAGCCAGAACAAAACACAGCAGCATAGTACCAGTTTGTATTTTACCTTTTTGCCAATATTATTAAGGAAAACTAACATGGCCAGGTTCAAAGCAGAGCAACAGAAGGACCTCCTGCACTCATCAGAACATCCTGTATGTCACAAGCTCTTTACTAAACCCGTAACACTTACTTGGAATGGGCACAGCCCTTGTGGCTGGGCATGTATCCAGGCTTGGCTGTGCCCCTTCCTCGAGGAGTCTGACACTTCTGTCCAACAGGGAGCCAGGAGCCCACCACTAACATTGCTTTTCAACATCTCCAGAAATATTGGGGAGTTGGGCATTCTCCATGGTAAGCCCAACAGGCAGTGGCTGGAAAACTCAGTAACCACAGTGCTTACAGGCTGCTGCAGTCATCTTTAGTAATTCTTTCCCTAAGAATTCTTATTTCCTATACAATTTCAGAGTTCAGTAAGACTCTACTTACTGAAATGGTTTTAGAAGGTACAAATACGTCTTGGCAAAGAAGAAAAATACCCACAACTCAAGAAGTTGGGCAAGCTAGAAAATGGGCAAATTCTTCACATTCTAATGCATCCTTTTGCCAGCCCTCTCTTTTTCTAACAAAATATCTGCTACTTTACATCCTCTATACATGAAAAAAATCTAGATTTTTTTTCTTAATTTAGGACTTAATATATTAGCATACTAACTATACTTGAAGCCACATGTTAAAATGTCTTTGGATGTGCTGTACTAGCAGTCTTTAACTTTTCAATAAACATAAGTTTGTTCTAGTGAACCAAATATATTAATTTCCCATAGTAAATATTTCTCTATACTACAGCTCATAGGTCCAAGTTGCTATACCCACATACACACTGCACTCCTGTCCTTTATGAAATAAGTTGCACTTACTGACTATTCTGGGTTAACTACTTGCTGACATGATTGTAACTCCACTGGGTCTCTCTCAGTTGTTTCCTTCTAGCCTGAGGCGTACTGCCAAATCTCTATCCAACACTGAACTGTAAGGATTTAAAAACAAAAAAAAGGAAGATTTTGAGATACTCAAGTTTTTATAGGGAAAATAATCTTGGATAGGGAGGTGAAATAATTCTGTTCCTTGTTCTTTTTAAAATTGTGAAGAAAAGACAAAACTCTCATCGTTGATCCTGTATCCTTCAGAGATAGCAGTGCCAATTCCAGTGTCCAGAATAGTGACCAATTCAAACATCATCTTTGCTTCACTGACTTTACACAACCAGTGGTTCCCAACACTGCGTTAACTTTTCTTCACTGACTGTGTTGACAACAACATGGTCGCAGTCATACTGTGTGCCTCCTGTAGAGAGAAATGTCAAAGAAGGGAGGTTAAATTTGTCTCTTTGAAATAAGAGAAAAATACCCTAGGTTTCATAAAAGCTCTAGTAAGAAAGAGCTGGTGTAGACAATTTCTCTTCGATCCATAGCTCTGGGAAGACAAACGTATTTTCATCACTGCCTGCTTTTGGAATTTATTTTTGAAACAGTTTTTGAATTAAACAGGATCAGTCTGCCTTATTCTCTCCACCCCTTTAGCAATTCAGTTTCTCAGCTCTTTCAGCCTGGATGGAAAAGGAAAGAAACACTGCAGTACAGTCAGGTGCAGCTCCTTGAAGACTATCACTTCCCAAAAGTCATGCTTGACTGTTCAGTTTTCCTGCAACAATTGTCAGTTGTCACTTGGCTCTAAAACCAGAGCGAAGATGTTTAGATGATGAAGTAAGTCCTTCTGCTACCAGACAGTACACACGTGACCAAGTCAGAGACAAGGTCTGGCACTCGTTTACTTCTTGCCATTATAATCCTTTATTTTGACCAGATGAATCACAATTCATCATGCACAATGTATCACCCAATGTTCAGCTGTTTCCAGTGGCAGCTGAACGTATCTGAATGCAAAATAGAAACATTTCTTAGAAAAGCTTAATTTACTTATGCAGTACAATGCCAAGTATGTTCTCATAGAAGAGCACCATTAATATTCTAACTTAAAAAAATGGGAAGCAATGACACATTTGACTGAAGCTGAAAGTCAGAATTGATGGTTTTTTTCCCCTCAGATCTAGTATGTACTGCAGAAATGCATTTCCTGTACAACACACCTGCAGAGCAGGTGGTATTCCCACTGGAAGTAGCCATCTGTGCAAACCATTTATATGAAGCACCAGGACACTCCCATGGACACTGTCTTTTTGTTCTGCACCCCCATTGCCTCACCCTCCCTGACTGAGCAAAAGACAAGCCTGGCAGCTGAAAGCTTATGATGAGTGTAAGATACTGAGCTTTATAGCTAATATTTTTTGTAGCTCAGTTATCACTGTGAGTGCAAAAAAAAAATTTTTAAGTGGTGTCTGATAGAACGCAAACATTTAAGATGGGATAAGCTGGGATGTTTTTGTCAGTGGATAGAGAGACTACTTTGATAGCATGGTGCTCTGGACAAGGCTTTGTGCTATGCCAGTTTATCCACAAGGTGGCATTGGCAACTGCACAGTTACACAACTGCATTCATTTGCTGAGGAATTCTTTAACGCACAGTTTGTGGTCCAGAATGGATCAGCACAGTAGGCAGAAAAAGGCAATGTTCTTACTAAGCTTTCTCAAAAAAAAAAAAGCTAAAATACATTTACATTTACTGAAAGCTAAATGCATCTACCTTTTTGTATTTACTGTACAGATATACTTTGTTTTAAAGCTAAGAGTGCATCTATACTCCCACTACCAGGCCTATCCATTATAAAATTCTTCAATTATAAATGCAGAATACGTAATTGCTTTTAACGTGATTAACTGAAGAAAAGGCAATGCAGTAGTACTTCTACTTGTTTGGAATGGGCTCCCCAGGAAAGTGGTCACAGCACCAAGCCTGATAGAGTTGAAGAAGCTTTTGGACAATGCTCTTGGGCACATGGTGTGACTCTTGAGGTGTCTCATACAGGGCCATGAGTTGGGCTTTGCTGATCCTTATAGGTCCCTTCCAGCTCAGGATATTCTATGATTCCAAGTGTTCACTCCTGTTTAGTTCTAAAGTGCTGACTGTTGACTGTGTTATTTTTCTGGTTGGTTTGGGTTTTTCGGGGGATAGTGGTAGTTGTAATTGACATCATTAATGTCACAGCATCAATTTATAACCAATCTTAAAACAGCTAAAAAAACCCAATAGAATAGAACAGATCCAGAAAATGTTTACTCCCTTCACCCAAAAAAGTGAGTTATATAAGAACATCTGATTATGCTAATTCTACTAATCATTCAGTTTGCCACTTTTTTAGACTTTCTGTGAAGCTTTGAAAACAAAGTTCAGAAACAGTATCTACACAAATCAGATTATGATGACAAAAGTGAGTCCAAAATACACGTCAAGTGCTCACAGACCCCAGGCTGCTATGGCAGAATCTCACACTTGCCATATAGGCATACCATTAATAAACAAAAGAACCCCACCTTTTTGCATCTATTCCCATCAGTATACAAACCTGCCTTTGTTTTCCCAATATCCTTTGGCTATTGCAT